TGAAGTATGTTATAGATTGTTCTAGGTGCTAGTCTGTGTCTGGCTTTCAGGGGTAAAGCAGATGAACTATCTAGAGCTAGTAATGAAGGTCGTTCAGCTTTGGGCTGCTAACGGCAAGGCACGCAGTTCAAATCCTCAGGACTTTTTGCTCCCATAAAGAGTTAGTCTCAGAAACCCTTTGGGGCAGATCTATCCTGTCCTTTAGGGTCTAGATGATTCAACATCAACTCCATACTAGGTAATGCTTTGGGCTGCTTCAGCTTTGGGCTGCTAACGGCAAGGCACGCAGTTCAAATCCTCAGGACTTTTTGCTCCCATAAAGAGTTAGCCTCAGAAACCCTTTGGGGCAGATCTATCCTGTCCTTTAGGGTCTAGATGATTCAACATCAACTCCATAGCAGAGAATTTGGTTGGCTTGGTGCACATCTCCTAATGTGTTGGGTAAGTGTATTCCACATTAAAACATTATCTGTAGCCTTTTCAGTACTTTGTGTGTAATTAATTCCAGCACAGCAAGTCTTTCCATGTGTGTTGCTCTCTCATCAGATACTTCTTGTGGAAACCAGAAGCCCTGTGCTCACAGACTGCATCTTATTAAATGCACTGAGAAATTTAGTGAACGGTCTTCCACTCACAGGCCCTCTGGAAATTCTGTCAGGTGAAATTTTTCACATGTAACATGATTCAGCAGTTAGGACTTAGTACATCCTCGATGACAGGAATAACATAGCCAATGGAGTTCATGTCATTTTAATACAGAGTTGCCTACTTGCCACTAATTGACTGTATTCATTGAGGGATTGCAATAGGCCAGAAATCGTGTTATCATTGTATAAATCCTACAAAAGTTCCATAAAGTATGTTCAATAGTTATCGATCAATATTATATACAGTTATTATTCTATTAGTACTTTACAGATTAGGAAACTGAACCTAAGACAGTTTCAGAGGATAACTGGTAGACCCCAAGTTTTTTACTTTCGATTTTCACCAATTAGCAGCACCAGCATCATCTTTATCAGTAAGCCTGGTTTTATTACCTAGGGAACTCCCAAAGGAATAATGGTTTGCATAAATTAACCTGATCTCACTTCTTTCCTGTGATTATGTTAAAAGGGTGAATAGGTGTTGTAATTTAAAGGATCCGAAGTAATTGTGAGTGGGAAAAAAGATAAGACTTTCTACTCCCGTAAAGAATAAGTCTGCAGGTCCCCAGTGGATGGAGACCGAGGCCACGGCTGGAGCCCAGCTCTGGAAATTGGGTTGAGCTCCTTAGAGGCACCGGGGCTCAGGGGATCTACCTGGGCCTGAGCTCTGGCTGACCCCAACTTGCCACGTGAGGATGACCGCGCAGCATGGGAACGACCCGGCCACTCCTTTCTTCCTCCCCAGATCACACGCCCCAACCCCGGAAGATGATGAATTGCCTCAAACCCACACCTCGGAGGACATCTCCAGCCCAACTTGGCGAGCTTTGGTGAGGAGCCAGAGCAGGAGCTGGGGCCACCATAACAGTGGGGAAGAAGGCAGCCCTCCTGCCGTCGAGGTCCGGGCTGGCCCTGCACTGCCCCAGCGGAGAGGCTGTGCGGCTTCACAAGTCCAAGGAGATCTTCCCGAGAGATATCCTACTGAAGCGGCTGGGGAAGAGCCTGCTGCTGGGTGCCAATCACCCACGGCCAAGGATGGGAGCAACGCGCTTGAGGAGT